GGCTGCGCATTTGCTACCACCCTCCCAGTGCTGCACAACAGTTTCCTCATGTTTTTTTGCTTCGTCAGCTTTTGTACATTTCACAACAGCGCACAGCAGCCGATGGAGCACTAGTTCTGCTAGCTCCATCACTCACTACAGTTATCAGCCTACTTAGGAGCAAACCCTAGAGAGAGAGCCCCGTTATGTGCTACTGCTCGGGCTGCTTCAGGAAGTCTTCGCCTCCCATGGGAAGCGGGTACGGGAGGAACTGGTTGTGTGGTAGCTTCGCAATCTTCCCCTGGGTTTCCCTCGTTTCATCTTTGCTGCACTTTTATTCAACCTGGGGGCACGTGTGCATGCAAATCCAGCCAATTTCACGCTGCAACAACGAGAAGCCAGCGGCAGCCCACTTAAAAATTATCCCGATTACAAGAACTGCGCTGAAACCATTTGATCACAAGACCCATCAGCGATGCCCTACTCCAAGTGGACCTTCTCAGCAGCCAGTGCTGCCCGAATGTTGGCCGTTGCAGCTGTCGTTTGAAGAATGCGTATGCTCGGTGCTTGAAATTCGGAAAAATACGTTAAAATTCAAAGAAGAAATCAAAGAAGCGCCATACCGGAGAGCAACTGAGTGTCCGTTGGAAGAGCATCACGAATCCGCATTTCATCAGAGCATCTCAGTGCCTTCGAAACGTGCCCACCTCATCCGCGCCTAAGCAAACAGCCCCATCGCAGCTCTGCTGACCGGAACAGAAACAAGCGCAACAGCGGAGCATCGACGGACTGCACCGAAAGCTACAAATGGCTTTTTTAGATGTTGCAAACCATCGTAACGTCGCGTAGGAACAGCCGGCAGGTGGGTGGTACTGACGAAAAAGCTAAAAACAACAATAAACAGTAAACACCCAAAAATGAGCCCCTTATACAGCAGAACATCGTGTGCGACACTGAGCAGCACTATGGCGAGAATGAGCAACACAGACCAACATAACATTATAGCTGGAGCGAAACAGTAAAAAGGAGTGGATGCGAGGAACAGGGAAAGAGGGGACGAGCCGCGGGGGG